TTGCTTTTATGTATGAAGAGATCAAAATTTTAGTCCTGAGATCCAAACAGATTTCCATTTTTCTTACCCAGGTCCTCTTATAATACAGTATTTAACATACATGTCCAACCTAAAACTTGTGTGCAAATGAACTCTCATTTTGAGCAATAATGTAACAATGAACATTTTAGACAACTGACACCAAACCCACATGTTTAAATCATAGAATCATGGAATCATTGAATGACTTGAATTGGAAGGGACCTTAAAGATCATTTAGTTCCAACCCCCCCCACTTTGGGCAGGACACCTTTCACTAGAGCAGGTTTCTGTAAGCCCCATCCAGCCTGGCCTTGAACACTGCCAGGGACGGGGAAAATCCTGCATTCAACCTAGTTTAGAATCAAGGAATATTTATTATGACTTCTCTGTAGCAAGAGGATAAATAGTGAATTATGTTAGAATTACTTTGCATTTTGTTCTGATAATAAGAGTCAAGGCAAGGCAAGGATGAAGTCTGTGTTCTGCCAAAATTGCTCAAATAAATCTTCGGCCATTTCAAAGGAATGGAGAATTTCCAAGAACATTTCCAGTGACAGAATTATAAGAAAAAACGAAGATACCTTTTTTTCCCTCCCCTCCACACACAAATAGATTGGATGAAAACTTAATATATAAAAGGTTAAAACTCTGAGGGAATTGTAGTAGATAGTGATTTCCTGTGTTTAATGAATTACATCTAAATTTCTAGGAAAGCAAATTAGTTGATATAGCTTGTGTTGAATGTAAAATAGAAATTATGAACTCCTACCATTCTTTCTACATGCAGAGATTATTTCACTCACTAATTCCTGAAATGAACGGTGGTTCAATGATATAAAAACCAAAGAAGGAGGTTTTAAGCTGAATCTCCTCAGTGTCTCCAAAACTGAATTCTAGGTGTTTTTAATTTAGTTTTTGCTATTACTGTCATAAAATTTCTAATTTATTTCAGGATTTTTTGTGGGGATTCTGAGAGACAGTGTTTTCATTTCATCTCAGTTTGGATCATATTCTGAACAACTGAGCATTAGAGATATGAGATCTCATAATTTCTGTGGCATCAACTTGGAGACTAGCTATGGATGTTTTATGTGTATTTAGTTATAAAAAATAAACCTTGCAGGCCTTTCCTAGGAACAACAAACAATGAAAACATTTCTTGAGCCAGCCTCTAGAGGCAGAAATTTAATGGTAAGAGAGCTGTAGTATGCCTCCCCTGCCCAGTCCTGCTGCCAGCACATCTGGCAGTGCTGCCAGCCTTCCTGTCGCAATGGCATCCCACTCAGGTACCCTCCAGCCTCTGCTCCAACTGTATTTCAGCTGCTTCACCAGGGAAGTCCTTGAATTTTCTTTATTGGTAACTCCTACTGGTCCTTTTAGTGGCTAAAAATGTCTGTTGAATTGATTTTCAAAACTTAATTTCATAGTCCAAGTGTTAAGAGAAAAAGACAAGCAGCAGTTAAAACAGGCTCTGAAATTATGTTTTTTCAGATGGGGAAAACAATGCCCTTTCTCAGATAATTTATCTTGAAAAAAATTGCAAACATCTTGATCATGTTATAGTATAAAACCAGTGCAAGGAACTGAATGATTTTCATAGAGTTTCAATTCACTTCAGTTTTTAATTAGCTTTACTGCCATACAACTTCTATATGAGCTTTAAGACTGCAGTTGTGCCTGTCAGCTCCTTTTAGTTATGCAACAGATATTATCTTCAGGGCTCCCAAAGTATGACTGACTGTCGTGGTCACTGACCATGCAAGATTTCTGCTGTAAACAGTAATTCCAGATGACAGTATTCCCTTGATCCCTGTATATATATATGAGGGAATTGCATGAGCAGAGGTTATTGTCATCACATGTCATTTATTATATAACTGGGTGTTATATTAAAACAAAAACATGCTTTGCTTGGCATTGAACCTGTGGGAAAAAAATGTTTCTTGGAGCATTGGCTGCAGGGATATCTTGGATAAATAGGTTCTTTTCAAAATAAGTTTTACATATAATTTTGGAAGCATTTTTTGCAAGTTGTGAGGTGTTATCCTAGTTATTAATTCATGAAAACAGGTGTGACAGGAATAATAATTTGTAAAGCTCTAGGGAAAACTCAATTTTGGAGACTTTCCCTGTAAAAGACTTGTGATGTAAACACAAGGAATAAAGCCCTCTTTCTGTCGTCATTCAGCTCGGACAATTCCAAGCTCTCCATGAATGAGCAGTCTCTAGTACTTCAGATGAAGCTGGACATTTGAGCTGCAGACATATAAAGAGATGACTGCTTGTTGTAAGTGCTTGCACTGCAGGTGTGTCAAAAGCACAGAGAAATTTCAGAGAGCAGCAGCAGCAACTGAATAGTTAATAGGCTTGAAAGGACAGTGTTGGCCACTCAAGTAACACAGTCTAAAACACTGGACACAGATAGCCCAGCTAAGGTAGATGCTAATAGATGTTTTAAATATAAACTGAAGATATTTGGATGCTGAAACGACATTACTTTAGATATGGGACTGTCTGGGAGCAGAATTTTGAGTAATGATTTGCTTAAAAGCAAGGGAAAACTTACACTGATGACCAGACAAAATTACCCTAAGTATAAACTCCATGCTGCTTAGCAAACTAGTAGGAACTTCATTCCTTTGTTATTTTAGACTGTATTGACCAAAGCATTAGAGCTTGTACTGGAAGCAGGCTTGCCTTGGCACCACAAAGATGTGCAATTTGATAACCATAACTTTTTTTATTTGCAAGGAAAGCAGCAAATGCATGTTACCAGACTAGTTTGCCTTACTGTAGTTCAGAACTCAAACTGTAAGTCACCAGATGACATTTGTTATGCTTTCCACCACCTGTCACCCATCCGGAAGCCCAAGCATATGCCAAAATGTCTATTTTAATTCCAGCTGAAACAATACCAAGAAATGAGAAAGCATAAACAGCAACAACATACTCCATAGATTACACTGAAAGTTTATTCTGTGAGACTCTGAAAGTATTATAGACACTAATCCATGTGTATGTAAATTAGTAACAAGGGCTCCACCCTGTAGGGCTGTAGAGAAATAAGTGTTTAGGTGTGGTTTTGTGCTTCAAAATTCTGATTCAATGTGAGTTGAGATCATTAGCTTTCTATTAACTATGAGTTTTCATTCAGTGTGTACCATTAGCTATTAACTTTAGGGACAGGAGATTTTTTTTTTTTTAAATCTGGACAGAATAACACTGCTGGACTGGTAGTTTCTGAATCCTAGTTTAAAACCTACAGGCAGAAGGTTCAATGATACTTTTGAAAAGCAAGGAAGGAGTGTTACAATATAAATCTCACTTTCAAAGCTAAGCTAAGGGTTTTACCATCAAAGTATACTGTGTAGTCTTAAACGTACCTGACCACTAGGATGTAAAGAGCAAGTACTGATTAGGAAGTAGGACACAAAGCATCATTATATAGTTGATGTGATCAGTAGCCAGTGTCTAAAACAAAATCCATTGAGGATATCAGAACAACACTCTCTTTCTTACCATGGAGTTCTACTGTGCTTCCAGTTCCAGATGCTGAAAAATGAAAAAAAAGCACCCTTAGTTACATGTTTCAGAATATCACTTGAAATTTATTTGAATTATTTACAATATATAATACAATAGACTGTTAACTATTTAAAGACTAGACTAAAACAGAATGGGACTAGGAGTACTCACTAAAGGTCTGTTGAACACCTATTTATTTCAGATAAAATCTGCTTTCCACGGCTTGAGGAGAAGCGGCAAACCAAGCCCTTTTGAGATCATCACAAGCTTTTGTCTTAAATAAGTAGATTTAGTCTCAGTTGCATCCTGCTGGCTTAGAAGATAAACCACCTGGATAGTTTTTTTCTTGAACTGCTTTCTCTTGGAGTGCAGTTCAGCTGCTTGCTTGTGGCTGGTGGGCTCTTATGCACTGACTGTTCTGGTCAAATTAAAATTAACTTAGTATTTAAAAATATGTATACATCTTTGTTAAATAGCAATGCTGTTCAAGACTTTTTTTTCTCAAAGCATGATCACAAATCTTGAAGGCTTTTAATCCTTTACCTTACTGTGTTCGTGAAATATATACATTTTTGCTATAAAGGATAAAATTAACCACTACAGCTTAGTATATCTTATGCCTATCAAAATAAACACATATGGAGTGAAACCTTTTCCTTATTGAAATTAATGACAACTCTATGATGGCCCTTTATACAGACAAAAATTTATGTGTATTGCTGAAGAGTTACAGCAATGGTACATTCAAGACATTTTAATAGAAGTTTTGACAACTATAAGATGTTTTTCAGAATACCTATTAGTTGCATGCATAAAACTTAACGTCAGGAACAGCTTAAAATTCAGTTTCATTTAATCTTGTTAATTCATAGGAAATTCATTCCAACTAAAAAGTATTGTTCTGAGACATCACAGCCTTTCAATGTAATGACTGAATACATTTTAATGGTTAACTTCAATATCAAGTAGAGTATGTTTTTCACAACTCATATATTACTTATGTTAATCTGATATTAGGTAGATTTTGATTAGTGAATACCTTAACTTTTTTCTCACATGCCATATTGCAAAGGCTGCCTTATGGAGTGGCAAGAATGCTCCTAAGTGGGTATGTTGAGTTGAACTTCCTTATGTGTGAAATGTGGTGTCTCTGTTGCTATGAAATTGGCCAGTTCTGTTCTTCTTTTGGTGTGGTTCTGATAGCTTATGTATGGGAGATGTTGCCATCATTTTGAATCTTCTTTTGTTTCTAAACTTAAATCAGCAGTTACCTTTTATTAGCTAAGTCTAGACTTGAAATGATTTTGGTAGATGCTGAAGCTTACATATGCTATTTTAGTTTGTGTTGATGATTTCTAAATATTACTTAAGTGCTCAAACTCTAGAATGCACATGAATTTGATTATCCTAATGCTTACATCTTGAGTAACTTCACATTTAATTTTATTCCACAGGAATTTGCTGCACTGACAAAAGAATTAAATGCATGCAGGGAACAGCTGCTTGAAAAAGAGGAAGAGATTTCAGAACTAAAAGCTGAAAGAAACAACACAAGAGTAAGTACACAGCAGACCTTTTCTGGATATCATGTGTGTGTAAACTTACATATAAATCTAGATCTTATTTCTAGGAATAAGGAGACAAAAATACAGCATTTTCATGACTGAAGGAGATTCTAAGTAGCAGGACATATCTGCCATGCTACAGTCCTGAAGGAAATGAGTGAATTAGCCAGATATATTGCAAACAATTACAATTACCAGAGATTTAGTATGTAACATGGTAAGGTCATTCAGTTTAAATGTCTTTTAAAGCAAGGAAGTCATGCAACCTTCCAAACCTGAGTAGCCTGCACATATCCTGATCTCTTACCAAGGCAAAAGGCAAGGTTACAACAGACAACCAGTTTTGCCTTGTGCCTTGGATTTGATCTGAATAAGGATGAGAGGAAGGCTGCCACACATAGCACAGGCAGCCTGTTGTTTAGTCTACATGCAGCCTTGTGACCCTTGAAGTAAATGTCATTTGTCATACAGCTGAGTGGGGACAAGATTGTATTTTGAAATTTATCATGTTCTGCTTCAATCAAAAGACAGTATTCTGTCTGGGAACAAGAATGTATGATACAGCACCTTCTGAAAATTCTCAAATGATGGACGGAATTGTTTTCAGAATAAAAAAATTTGCACGTAAAAGTGTCTGGGCAAAGCAGAATTTATCTAGTAACACAAGAGAGTAGCAAAGGAGATTTATGGTGTTTGTGGAAAAGTGTGAGGAAAGAGATGGAGTAGTGCCAGTTCAGGTGGGAGTCAGGCTGTTAGTGAACATACAAAATAGATCTCAGAGGTTGAACACCAAGTGATCTGTGTAACTTTACCCATTTTCCTCTTCTTATTAAAATAGTAGCACTTTGGATGCTCATCTGGAATCTCTTCTTTGTCAGCTAATTTGCATTTTGAAAAGAATCTAACAATATATATGCTAAAATACCTGAGAGAGGGCCTTTCTCCCTGCTTTCTTCTTCCCATCTATAATGCTAAAGAGTGCTGTAGAGTTCAGAAATTCAAGGGATGACACATTAAATAGATGCCTACAAAGAGGCAAAGCTGACCCATCTACCTCTATGCTTTCCTGAACATTCAGGACATGATCACATTTAGTACAAAGCTCTTGGAGGTGATGGGTTTGGAAAATTTTATGGGAGGTATAGGGGAGAGATACTTTTTCTCCTATTAATTAACTAATTAATTTTGAGAAACATGTAGGAATTGCACTGCATTTTCCAGGTTTAGCAAATCATGTCAGCTGAAGAAAAGTCTGAAGACTTCCTATAGCTGCTTAAATTATCAGTAACTCCTACATGTGTATTATTTTAGTATTTAATAAAAAATGTTTTATCCATTTCACTCCAAAGTCCACTGAACACCAGATTTAGTGTGTTAAAACTGCAGTGCACCAATACTGATATAAGCAGTGCAGACTAGCGAAAATTCAAAGAGAGCTTAGTAGCCAAAGATAGTCACTTGCCAAAGAACTGTAAGGAAAAACGAAGATGACTCAACTGCAAGTCATCTCCTAAGTCAGACTGTCATAGGCAGTTTCTGTGCAGAGCAGGAAGCTTAAAGATCATCCATTCCTATGTTCCTTGTACTATGTAAAAGAAAAATTTGCAAGAGGTTTTCCAAGAGAACTAATATCAACAAATGGGAGTTACAGTGTTATAATCCTTGCAGTTAAAATTAGTAAATACTAACGGTGTGTTTTCAAAATGAGAATGAAGCTAGGGATCAAAATGTTTAGGCTATGAAAAAAAATAGGGAATGCAGGAGATGTTACAACAAGCAAAGGGAAGATAGAGTCCAAATATTAATGGAGGAGAGAGAAAAAATTCAGACATGCCTTACCCTGACCTCTAGAATTTTCATTAATAAGTTATTACCCTTTCATGTTTATGTTCTTGCCAGGCTTTAAGCTACCATATACTACAATATATCCCAGAGCTGGCTGTAATAGTCATGCTGTCTTATATAGGGATACTCTTTTGATAGGGAAAGATGAGCATTTTAGATGGAAAGCTGTTGTTTTCAACACACAGTCTTGGTTGTGTGCTAGTGATGAGATTTCCAGCAGCGTTCATTGGGAAGGCATTGCCTATAAAGATGTGCTTTTGCAAACTGAGATCTATGGTGTTATTAATGCAAAACAACATTAGTATTTTGTAAAAAAGAATCGCTCCAAAATTTTTCTGTTAATTAACAAGGATTCTAATAAAATAATATTTGGGGGACCACTGATACACTTTCACAGTGAGAAAATTAAATGTCTTTTCTCATCTATAAAGTTAGTCCAACTAATGTATCTTTTGTGCATCCCTCTAAAGTTCACACTTAAGCCAGCCCTACCTTGGCTGTTACATTAACAAAGCTCACCTGACCCCCCAGGACACACTCATGCATAACCACACATAGTGGAACTACTCAGGACAAACATTTTGTCCCAAGTAGCATTTCCTGCTGCTTTTAAATGAAGATACGCAGTACCGAATTTCAGCTTCTGAATTTTTTAATCCAACCTTTTATCTACTTGGCACAACAGCAAAAAAGATATTGTTTCATTTGTCCCGTTCTGTTTGCTTCAACCTGAATATCAGCAGAAAGGAATGAAAGTGGCAATTCTGTTCAGGTCCTGAGTACACACCAGCCTTCCAAGTCACCTTTACATTTTCAGTTATGCCTAAGTGGCAGGATTTTATTTACTCTAGACCCACACCTGTGTTTCTTTATTTTCTGGCAACAGCCTCACACAGCTTTTGCTCATTACATAAACAAACAAAACACAAAACTGATTTCACATCCTGATTTCCCACTCTATGCCAAGCTGTAGTAGTAGACCTTGATGGTAACGTATTAGAGAGAGACCATGATGAAATTCCTAAAAAATTATGTTTTCTACGACATATACACTCAGATCTTAACGAAAATACCAGAAATTAAACCTCACCTCAATATTTAATCAAGTTTCTACTCAATCCTTCTAGCAGCATTCTTAAGCATTTGCTGTTGAATGTGCATTTTTGCTGCCTATGATAATCAACTTTTTCTGACATATTACAGTAGAAATATTTTCATGTTAAGAACATAGCTGGAAACTTAATCTATCAATACACAAGGCAAAATAGAAAGTGTGGGAATACTGATTATGTGGCCTTGCTGACTGGAAGGCAAACAGGTTCTGTCTGGAAGACCATTGTATAAGACTTTGACAACAGATACAAAAATATCTTAATAGAAACTCTTACAGTTATTTCTCTGGATATTCTCTAGATAGAATGATCACCTATAGCATGTAGAAAGATGGCATCTTTTCTGAAGCTGGAAGACAAGTCAGTGTGATCTAGCATGTTATTTAATGGAAATTATAAAATAACACTACTTTGGTTGTTTAATTTTTTTTGTCTCTGTATTCTTTAAAAGTAGAAAAAATGCATAGGATTAATTTATTAGATCAGAATACTATTAGGAATAAAATTTGGGGGTTGGTTTGGTAGCTGAAAAAAATACCTTACAGTACTGCTATGGATTAATCTGATTGTGGATTCTTCCATACAACAAAAAAGGACCAGAAACATACATGTGCTTTTTGAATAAAAATTTTTACTCAAATTGGTCTGAAATATTTTTGTTCTAGCAGTTTACAAACAAAAAAATTATACCTGTATTCATAAATGAAACAGTAGCAACAGTGTCATTAACTCTCTTTTGCTTCATGCCTTAGGAGATGAAGCATTTATTGAAATGAACAAGGCTGAGTTGTATCTAATTTTATTCATATTTTATTGTCTCCATTCCTTATTGAATGGTTTATGAAACATTTTCAATTATGCACTGCAGTTTCATTATACATATAGATCAGAACTTAACCTATATTTTACGATTCAAATTCAAACTATGGTTTTACCTATTTTAGCTCGTTTTCTCATAGGTCCTTTTAATTAAATCAATTTCATAGGTGCTGAAAATTAATCAGGTACTCTATTTGTTATTTAAACTTGAGGAATTCTTAGTCTAAAAGCACTGTACACATGAAAATAAGTATATCTCCTAAAGTTCTGCAAATGGCAAAACATTAATTCAATAATATAAGTAACAGTATATATCATTGCCTCAATATTATTAACTGTCTTGTAGATTCATGTGTCTCTTTTTTAAAAAAAGAAAGAACTTCTGTCAGAAAATTGTGTAACAACAGATAGTAAATGTAATATATAGTTATTCAATAACTATATGTTTTTATATAACTATATGTTTTTTAGGTAATCTGTTTAGGTAATAGTCATATTTCTATTCATTATTCTTATAAACCCCCTTTTCTTCCTATTGCTTTTATCCAATTATCCAACTGTTACATTTTCTTTCACAGCTTTCACATACTTGTGATTTCATTAAGATTTTAGGTTGCTTGCATTTTGGCTTCTGTTCAGAAGGACAGACATGGGACACACTGCAGTAGTTGGGCTGTAACTTTACTTTTTCAGACAAAGATTTTCACTGTTAATTTACCAGTGTAGCTGTTGGAGGTCATGCCCCCTCACCACAGGTGAAAAGTGGTTGCCATTACTGTGGAACAATGCTGAAAAAAAATCACCGATTTTGTGACTGATTTTGGAGGTAGTCTTCAACCCCATGTCAGCTTACTTTACTTGTCTTCTCTGCTCACACCAGAGATGGAGATTCACTGAACAATGGAAATTCTAAATATAGACTGAAAAAAAAATTCCATTTTTCCTGTGCTGGTTAGAAATTCTAAGCTGAACCTCAGAAGTGAATTGTCTTCTTAGTGGGTACCTCATTCCTCTAAGGAATACCTTAAGCTAAGTCTGTCTCGTTTCAGAAAAGTCTTTTCTTTTATGTTTTTCCCTGTATTTCATTGTTTATGACTCTCCTTTTCTCTCCATTACCATGTGTTGATTTCTTAATTTCTCCATTTATTATCCTGCTGTAAACTTTTTCTACAAACAATTTTTGAAAATAATGAAAGTTAAGATAAAATATTTTTTATTGATTAAAATCCAGGTCTTGTAACAGCAAACTCTACTGAGTCACACTAATTTCAACTTATTGAGCCATCATGCCTTAAAATAAGTATTTTAACTTCTTTCATTTTCTATGTGTAAATCAGTGTCCATGTAGTCATGATGGTATGGTGTAGTAGAGCAATTAGGTGATAATCTATGCCAATGTAGTTTACACCATTAAATCTAGCCATACATTTTTGTTTCACAGAAACCAATCACTTCCATAATTGCTGTGTAAGTAATTTGAGAAATACAAGAAGCTGGTTATATTCTAAAAATTTTCTCCTTTCATGTTCATTTAGTTCTAATTAACACTTTAGATGTTTTAATTAACGTCTTTAGAAAGATGCTACATTCATTCAAAAATATTATTATTATTTTTATATATTTTTATGCTTATAAAAGGTAGTCCAGAGTTCCAGAAACCATCCTATTTACATAAGATACAATAATCAGCACAGCATCTTGAGCATCCTAAAATTTGCCCAGCATAAAACTCACTTGTCAGATTATTTCATAATTCATTGTCAAGCTTATGCTTTCCAGTAGGAAAAGCATAGCAATGATGCGTGGGTGATTCTGTCCTACCTGCTGCTGTTGATCTTCATCTTCTTTTCTCTGCAAGCTGCCTGTCCCTCTGAGTGCTTGACAACTGTAACAGCTTGACAGCGTGAGGGAGCAGAAAATGCTCAGCAGCCCATGAGCACTATTTATTAATGCCAGAGTTTAATTGCAACTTACTGAAATCCCTAAAGCTGTTTCTAACAATTCTTTTGCAGTTTAAATTAATTACCATTATTGTTACAATGTTATTTCAATGTGAACTCTTGTGATGTTCTCACAATTATTTGGAATATTAATTCTTGAACTACTTATGTGGAGGAAAGTCCTCAGCATGCCCACAACTTATTGTGATTTCCTTCAGATGTTAAACATTGGTTGACACACCATCATCTTCAATGTCAATCTTTTATGTTTATACTCTCTTCCCCCATTATTGTAGCCCTGAGAGACTTCATAATTCTGTCAGTGTTGTTGACATTTGCACTTCCCAGGGAAGCGGGGAAGATCTATTACCCCTCTTTTTGATATAATTGTGGCTGGGGGAAATTTGAATAAAACAGCAGCTATTGTTACATGCCCAAAGTGGGGCAAGAAAACTGGTGAAAGGTCTGAAGCACAAGTCTTGCAAGGAGCAGCTGAGGGGTGTTTAGCCTGGAGAAAAGGAGGCTCAGGGGAGACCTTATCACTCTCTGCAGCTGTAGGTTAGGTGGGGTCAGCCCCTTCTCCCAGGTGATAGTACAGTGATAGTACAAGAGGAAATGGCCTCAAGTTACACCAGGGGAGGTTTGGGTTGGGCATTAGGGAAAATGTCTTCTTCAAGAAGGTTATCTTGGTGACTGGATACAGCATTGGAGCAGGCTGCCCAAGGAAATGGTAGGGTTGCCATTCCTGGAGGTATTTAAAAGATGTGCTGATGTGGCACTTGGGCACTTTGTCTAGTGGAGGACTTAGTAGTGCTGGGTTAATGTTTGGATTTGATGATCTTTCCAGCCTAAACAATTCTGTTATTCTGTGAGTCTAGTGTTTCACCAGGGCAGGGGGCAATGATTTGCTATCAGGTTCTCAATCACAGATGTCCTACCTATTAGGTTTTTTCCCTTTCAGCAGAAATGGGAGTAATGTTTCACTAAGAGACCTCGTATATAGTATTCCTTGCTCAGCTGGTTTTGCTGTTTGCAGTGCTCACAGAATTTGTGAAGCAATAGAGATTATTTTTGTTGAAAAGAAAAAGAAGACATTTTTACAAATGAGAAACCTATGTTAGCATGGCTTCTTGAGCATTCCTAGAGCTGATGGTAAAGAAAATTCCAGTGTTCAGAGGTAGTTTCCAGAAGAATGAGTGACTGCAAATGCTTGAGTAAATAAGAACAGAAAGAAAAAGTATGAAATGTTCACAAGCACTGTTTGGTTCTCCATGGGTCTTTTGACACAGCTGTGACAATCAGTATAGGGTAAATTAGGCAACACAGCATTTTGCACTTGATTAATGTAACAGCTATGAAATGTATGCAGACATTGGAATACGTCTTTTTCTCCTCTGAAATGGTGGTTCTAAGCTAAAAACAAACTTAGCTTTTGTGTATGTTAAATGGGTGATTGTCATTGGTTTAGTATTATGCATTATGCATGTTTCTAACATGGCAGTAATGTAACCTAAATATGTTATCTGTAGCTCTGCAAAAGGCTAGAGTGCTGTACTGTTCATCTCAAATAGCAGACTCCTCCACAGTCACCCCATTAAAAATTCTGAGTTCCCACCACTTTGCTGTCTTCTACTTGGAAACATTGTTTAACTTGTTTTATCTCTTCATCACCCTCTTTGATCTCTTTTCTGCCTTTGCTTAGCAAGTTTCTTGTCTTCTGTCCATGCTGACTTCACATTCCCTCTTGGGATTGTCTGTCTGCACCAGTTCAAAATGAGGTTGTGAATGTATGTTAGGAGGTTTTTTGTGCGTTCCTTATTTATCTCTCTGCTATAGGTTATGTGTAATTCCTTTTCCATGTCAAGATTTCCATGTCACCATCACTCCATCACACCAGATTTTCCCATTTTCCTTTCCAACTGAGTCTTGCATACAGGTTCTCAGGAGTCCCTGATCATCACAGCATTTTTCTGAGAGATAAGTCGTTTAGGGTAGTAGGACACCAAATATGATAAATTTGCTCAGTCAGGCCAAAAAGGTTGCCAAGGTTTTGTTACTCTGGACTGGTTTAGTCAGTGTCACTTTGAGCATTAGACAGCTACAGACATATGTAAAGAATGGCCATACTAAAAATTCAACTGTAGATCAATGTTTTCCCTTTTCCCCCAATTTCTTCAGAAATCTGTAGCTTCTTGGCTGGATTTAGACTGATCCAGACATAGTTATGATGCATTAAAAAATTTCTGCATAAAGAAAACTGATCAGGATGAGCCAGACTCTAATGGAATCAGCCAGGAGGTGGGAATGACTGTGGGGAAATCTAAGTGCACAGCATGGATTCGAGTCAGATTCTGGCTACCCCAGGGCTATGTAGTAGGGCAGAGTCAGGCTGCACAGAGAAGGAATTGTTGCACCCTCACAGACTCTTTCAAGAAACAGGGCAGAGTGTAGGTTGAAGAATTAAAAATCAGCTATTGACTTACTTTCCTCTAGCTCTCCCCCAGATAAACTAGATGGCCTAGAAAAACCATGATGATACAAGTATTTAGACCAAAATTCAGCAATTTAGTTCTCTTTATGAGGGCAATTAATTGTTTATTTAAGTACTATTATGAACAGAAATAATCTGTAAATATTTGGAAAATATTCTTATCTCATTTAATTTGTAAACTTCCCACAGCCCCACACTGAATTCTTGATGGCTCTATCATTGAGAGGTCTCTTCAAATCTGTGTGCTACTTTGGACTGCCTCAAATAATGAAAAATCCACCTATATCTGCTCTTAGCCCTTCAGGGATGAGAAAGCTTGTGAATTTCTTGTTCATTTGCTTTTGATAAATACAGGCCACGACTTGGATTCAGAAATGATATGGAGACCCTCCTTTCTTAAACTGCAGGGAGTCATTATAACTCTCAATGTATTAACATTGTTCACATGTTCATTCACTGTTTTTTGTGAAGAATTTTTTTATTGCAACATAAAAACCAGGTGTAAATCCAGACATGAGAACCATGTTTGAAGCAAAGATGACACCAAACCATAACCATTCCTAATCTGACTTAGTATCAACATACTACATCTCTAATATAATTGCCTTCTGCTTTTGGTCTTCTATGTCTAGTAATTAGTGTAAGAATAAAAATCACTATATAACTGAGAATAACTGTGGATTACAGATAAATATATGTATTTAGTAATAGTTGCTATATTAAGAACCACATCAAAGGAGAAATTTTAAACAATTGTCCATGTAACTTTCAGATTTCCAGTTCAATGAATTAGATATAATTGTTTGTTGTAATTACAGTACATTTAACATGCATTCTGATTCATGAATTTAGCTACCCCCATTTATCTTACAGCTAACCAAGTCTCTTTAATGTTCAGGCACTAAAAATAGCAATGGTAGCCCTATGAAAATATGGGCAAATAAGGAAAATTCCACACAACATCAACATACCATTTTAATTTTTCCTTTAACCTGAGAGCAATAATGAAAACTAAATATAGTATGCTTTTAAATTATGTTATTTGCAGTCTATCTAACAGATGTTTATGGACGTCTCTGATTTTTGTTGTGCTTTTAATATTACAGAGACAATGCATATTTTAGAGAATGTGCTAGTGATGAACACCATTAGCTGTGGCAGTTCTAATGAATAGTCTTAAAAATCTAGTAAAATATACTGTTCACTCCTACCTAATTTGTTAAGTTGCTTTCAAGATAAATTGAAAATATATTACAGTTAGGCTGAATTAATTGTAAACTTATTTAATATTTTTACATAATTCTTTAGACTGTCTTTGCTTATTTGGCTGCCAGTACTCATCAATTACTATCAAAAATGATATGTAAATATGTAATTAATTTAGTAAAATGGTGACCCTGTGATTAATGATTTGTTGTTGTTTTTCATAGCAGAATTTTAAATTTAATCATGAGTAGATTTTCTTTTTCCATTTATTCCATCTGATTTAGAAACATGAAATATTGCAATCCAGCAATCTCTCCTACAATGAGGTTGCCAAGAAAATTGCTGTTTAGTATCATGCACTTTGTAGTTAGAATTTCTGTGGCATTTAGGGGCACAGAAATTAATACCTTTTTATTTCAAATCCAATAGCTGTTACTGGAGCATTTGGAGTGCCTTGTCTCAAGACACGAAAGGTCCCTGAGGATGACAGTGGTGAAACGGCAAGCACAGTCTCCCTCAGGAGTTTCCAGTGAAGTTGAGGTCCTCAAAGCTCTGAAATCTCTGTTTGAGCACCACAAGGCTTTGGATGAAAAGGTACAGTATGGGGGAAAAAAAAGCTTACTAAATACACTCTTTAACTTGCCTAATTGTGCTTTATGATGCAGCAGAGCAACAGTATTGTTTGTTTACTCCTTGGAATAAGCCCTGTACTTAGAGTATTTACAGGTATCCAGAGAAATCTGGATGCTAAGAATGTATGGCCAACAGCTGTAATGCACTCGAGGTCACTTCAGCTATCTTTTGTAGACAATAGAAATGACTTTTCAAAATAAGCAAATCTCACCCCTACCAGACATGCTTCTCCTATTTAGGACTAAATAAAGATGGCCCTGTGGAATTTATTGAGTGTAAAAGGTGCTTTTAAGTTATGACCATGAAAATGTAGGTATATCTCAAATTTTAAAAACACATAGAGCGAGAATGAGATGTTCCTAACTCCATAAGGGAACTTGGCTCTTAGATATTTTTAGGAGGAAAACCTCCTAAATTTCAGAGGTCTTTTTAGCCTTTGCTACATAAGGACACTGTTCCCTTTACAAGTAGCATAACTTCTAGTAAATAGTACATTCTTCATTATCAGAAGTGATGAAGGGCCTACAGAATCAAGGTAAAAACCAATGATAATTGCATCAAGTCATGCTAATGAAAAGGGTCTTTCCACTGCATTCCTCATGTATCCTGTGCTGGAAAGACTATATTCCAAGTGAATGAAACTTTGTACAGCAATGAGTTATCACCTTGAGTATTGTGTACATGAATTCATAAGTCTAGTTCAAGTCTAGAAACAATGTGCTCAGGAGGTGATGTATGTGAATTAGTAAGTGCCTGAAAACTACACATGCAGGGAGCACATGAGAAACAGAGCTCATGAGCGAAGAGCCTCGTTCTTTATGGGGAATGTTTTGGTTGATTGGCTCATTGCTGCTGCTGAGTTGCTTCTCTGGTTTTGATGGCTGGGTAAGCAGGGGACATTGTGCAGCACAGCATCTGAAACCACTGACTGCACAGATGAGCTGTATTGTACAGGACCAGTTTAATGGTCTCACAGCAACAAATTTAACTTTCAGAAATATACTCAGAAAGCTGACTTAATGAAGGTAGCTGTAGTTATATAGCAATATATATATATATATATCATTGGTACTGTGGTTTGTGAGTCATACTAGGTTAACTATCAGGTTTGGCGTTTAATAAATTTAAGGAACTTAGACCAAATAAAAACTACTTATGTGTTTAGATATATTTTTTGGATTATATGTTGTACTCAGATATCATGAAAACATCTTTAGAGAAAATCTAGGAAAGGAAATATAGCAACTTCTAGCCACTGTAGAAAGCTTTTGGATGTCATTAAGACTTAAAAAATCCTGTATTATTAAAAAGATCTTTTGAGGACTGATGGGGTTTATGGTCTGAGCTTTGATCTTTTATCCAGCACTTTAAATATCGGTAAAACTAGGGTAGGGAGCTTCCAGCTTTTATACTTTTTGACATTGTGTTAGATAAGTATGAGAAATAGTAAGAACTAAACTTGAAATAGATTCTGATTGTTCAACAGTTGTGTACCTCTTACACATTTTCTTTTGTGAATGGTTTAGTGTTTCGGTACTATGCAGTTAATTTTACGTCCCATTTTGAAAATTATTGTACTGAATTAGATTGAAACTACATGTAATATTTTGATTTGCATTATTGAAAAAATTGACTTATATTGTTGAAAATTCTATTCCTATATTTTTTTCAATGTAACAGGTTAAAATCAGTATTCAGCACGTTAAAAATTTTTGGAATTACATGGGTAGACATTTTATGTATCTAGTTGATTCCTGTCCCAGTGGTAATGACAATTATCAGGGTAGAAAAGTCAACCATCTGCAATCATATTAACAGAAGATTCGTTCCATTATAAAAGAAGTTTTATAATTACTTTTCCAACATGCTGTTTACCTGTATGTGGAGCCTTTTTTATTTTGTTGCAATAAATCTTATTTTGAATATAAAACATTCTGAGAGAAGTCCAGTAAACAGTTTAATAATTGATTTTAAAATAATTTGTTATAAACCCAGCACACATTATTTTCAAGTTATAAACCCATATAAAAATACCTGGTTTTGTTACAGTGTCTGTGGAAGGATTGGATCAAAGTTGCCACATATATCGCCCAGATACTTGATAATATAATGCTTTCACAAATTGTCAGCATTATGGTGATTTTTATTTAAAAATAATAAAATGCACCCAAATGTGCTAAGAATTTTTTTTATGGCATGTGAGTCATATATTCTGCATGGTGACAGAAAAATTATGTAAGTTAGATTTGTTTCAGACTCTTCAGAAATAAGATATCAATCCAGCTATAAAAATGCATTGAAGATTTTTAGGGACTAGTAGAACAATGTGGGTTGGAGCTCCTGAGAGACATCTGGCCCAACCTCCTGCTCAAAGCAGGGCCAACTGTTTCAGGTTGCTTAGGGTCCTGTCCAGTAACTTCTGAATATTTCTAGGCAGAAAACCTGTTCTGGTGTTTCACCACCCTCACTGTAATTTTTCCCCATAATACCTATCTGGAGTTTCTGCTGAGTTTCTCTTGTCCTGCAAGGTCTTCCCTCCTGCATCTGCAAGAATTTGGCTTTATTTCCTCCACATCTTCTGTTTAGCTGGTTGTAGACATCAATTAGGTCTCCCATGAACTTTTCCTTCTTCACTTTGACCAGATCCAGCTCTCTCTGCCTGTCTCAAATGCTGTGTGCTCCAGCCCATGGCCAGCTTGGTGGGCCCTCATTGAAATCTGCCCATATCTTTCCTCTACCAGGAAGCCTGAAAACAAATGCTGCCTCAAAAGTCTGGAGGGAAATAATAATTTCCTCCAACCCACTGGCTGAACTGTGTGCTGGCCTTTTTCACCACTAAGTCTTTTCTGCAAAACTGCTTTCTCTTCCTGAAGCCTGTCTCATTCCCTAGGGTTATGCATTCTGTGGCAATGGGATGCCACACAGACTTTGTGTCACTGATCACAAACCTCTGAACCTTGCAGTCCTGTCCATTTTTGACAGCACCACAGAACATTTCACCAATTCACATTTCACCAGTTTCTCTAGAGATAAATGGAAGATCTTGCAGCAAAACTCAGTAAAGACAAAAAACATTAATTGTTCTCCCCTCATCCATGGAGCCAGTCCCTCTCCTCATGCAAGGTTGGCCAGATTTGGTTTTGACAAGGCCATACTGGCTCTCCCCAGTCACCATCTTGTCCTTTATGTGCCTGAAAATGCTTCCTGGAAGATTTGCTTTATACCCTCCCCTACACTGGACATCCTCTACTTTCCTGGATATTACCAGGATAAGGCCAGTATTTAATGTAAAAGGACAAAATGTTTGTGAGTTTTCCACTCATCAGGAATCTCCTTGACTTCTGCTACTTTAAAAGTTGAAAAAGGTCTAACTATGACAAAGTAATCAAGTCTCCTGGCATCCATGGATGGAGTCAATCTATGCCTTTGAGTTGTGTGTGTCCTGTCTTCCTGTATCGTGGGTAATGCTTCACTCACACAGACTCTGCTGCTGTGCTCAGGGGAGGCCAGCAGGCAGAACCTCACTGTAAAAATGAGGCAAAAAACATGACTTCTGATGCCACAGCAAAATAGACAGTGCCCCATCAGAAAATGCACACAAAGCTGAAGTAGGTTAATGGATAAAGAGTAATAAAAACTGTCAAATTGCACTGGAAATGTATCATGATCCTTTGCAAATGAATAATGCAAATTTTTCTTTAATTTTTTTCTTCACAAAAAAACGTTGACACTGAAACTATTAATGTAATTGTTGCATTCATGGAAAAGCATAACAAAATATTTTCATGAGAAGCTTTGCCCTTTAAACTTACAAAAATATTAAGAAAATCTTAAAATTCTTCCTAAATGCAAATTTTCTTTCATGTTTTCACTTCCTACACTACAACATCTTGATGTGTTGTAACAAGTTCTGCCACAAAACTTGACTGATCATGAAAGGATTGCTACGTGCACAGTACAAGAACTACAAAACCATCCTCATTACTATAAGAAAATGCAATGAAGCCTACTAACAGATTGGAAAGTGAAAAATAAAATATATCAATTTTTAGGCAGGCCTGTTTAAGCATAAAAATAATCAGGAGTGATACTTTATTTCAAAGTCTATTGACTTTCTAGCTATTGCATGAAGTCTGAGTTTTGCCTTCCCCTTTTGTCCAAAAGATAGATCACCACAGGGAGATCACACTGTGATTACATTATTCTGAGAAAACATGGTTCTCATTGCAGTTTTTTCAGAGTCTGGAAGCTCCTTCAGGATCCTTCTTGTTATGCACATGCCACAATCCTGGAGAACGAAAGTTTGTCATGAGCTTCCCATATGAGAGAGCCAGTCCTGTTTGGCTGAACCCAGTAGGTACTTCCTAGTAAGTGGGAAGTGGTAAGAGTATGATTTAGTCTTACCCCATTATCTGTATGAGATCTTAGTAGTGCCAAGCAAAAGTCTTCACAGACGTTTTTTGCAGTTTTAATGTATTTTGTGAGAATTTTCACTTTAGGGCATGGGGATAATGACAGAGTTAATTTAGTTTAGAAATGTTTACCATTATATGTGTCCCTCAGAAAAATCTCATTGCGTCTCCTTGGATAAGTTGTGTCACATCAAATGAAATTGATACCACACTAAGTGTATTTATTATTCTTATTATTTAGAAATTTAATTTTATAGAAGCTATACACATTTAAAAAAATTGTATATATGATTATGCTAACATTTTTAGAAATAGAAAACCAAAGAACATGGGCAGTTCTGTTCGCATTTTTAAATTTTCATCATGTGAGAAGTTAAATTCAGTGACTGTTTTACCCAAGTGTAAGGTTAGGTAATATCTCACAAACAGTGAGCATTGTTTAAAAAATGTGAAGTTAGGAGTGATTTGGGCTAGGACTAATGTGAAATTCTGACTTAACATTTCTTATAGCCTTTGCTATTGTATAAGTCAGGTGAAATTTGCAGCAGTATTCATAGAGTGGAAACCTCCCTTCAGTTATTCACCCTGTCCTTCCTAATGCTACAGGTCTCTTCTCTTACTGCTGATAAGTAGCTCATACCTTTGTGGGGTTTTTTTCATGCAATGAAAAGTCGTGGAACCAGTGTAAGACAGAATATTTTGTGATATTATATATGAATATACATGGAATTGTTTATAAAAGAGCAGGTGAGGACAATATTTCCTAGAAATCATTGGAGCTGAATAAAAATAGAAGCTCATGTTAACTTCATGGTTAGAATAGACACTAAGTAGATCAGGAAATACATAGTCCTTATATGCAATTCAGGAAGAACAAAAGATAGAAAAATTATTATGTTACTTGTGCCATGCTATAGTTATATTTGAATTCTAATATATCTATTTGAACATATTTGTTGTCCTGCAGACATTTTTCCTATTTTGCTTTAAACTTTGGGTTCAACTTTTAAAATGTGTATTTGGAAAGAAGAAAGAAGCAAGTTCTCCAAACCCAGTTTTTTGGTCAGTGTTGTAAGAAAAGTGTCCAGTTGACCTTCACAGGGGAAAGCAGCTACCAGATGTTACTGTCTTAGCTATGAATCAAAAACCCACTGGTTCTCTTGAGATTAATTAACGGCTGAAAAATATACCTAATATTCCTGCAAACATTTGTGTCAGCTTTGTCACTATCCTTTTATTCATTGGCAGGTAACTAGGAGAACTTTTATTAAATAGAATAAATGGGAAAAAAGTGATTCAATTCTAACATGCAAGTGTTTTTTAAAAGCTCTTTATGGGCTGCAGATCTGAAGAGAATGAAGAAAGAATTTGACAGCAAGCAAAAAAAGTGGGAAGCAGTTGCTAGGAGACGGAGAAAGATGGGTGATATTTTGCACTGACAGCAGTGCTAACATGACATTGACTATGTTACATTTAAAGATAATGTGGTTGCATTTAAAAGCCAGAAGAATACCCAGTCATCTGGGCATATGTTAGATACACCCTCTAACATGGAGAGAGCAACTCTTTCCTGCTGTGTCTGTGACACTACAATCATAAAATCACAAAATGGCTTTGGTTGAAAGAAATAATTAAAAATCATCTAGTTTGAACCCCCTGCTGTGTTAGGGACACTGTTCACTCGACCCTGTTGCTCTGGCCCCATCCAAACTGGCCTTGAACACTTCCAGGGATGGGGCATCCACATCTGCTCTGGGCAACCTGTTCCAGTGTCTCACCACCTTCACAGTAAAAAAATGTCTTCCTAGTAACTAATTTAAATCTGTCCTCTTACATTTAAATCCCTTCCACCTCATCCTGTCACTACTGTCCTTGTAAAAAGTCTCTCTCCAGCTCTCTTGCAAGCCCCTTTAGAAACTGAAAGGTGCTGTAAGTGCTCCCTAGAGCCTTCTATTCTCCAGGTATTTGTCCTTTAAAAACGTTTATGATAGCATTTCTGTTAGATCAATTGACATCTGATTGGTCTTACTTTCTGAAACCTTTTTTAGTAAAGCTCTATCATGTGCCCAAGAAAATATAAATACATTGAAAAGTCATATGAAACTTAAGCAGAGTAACTTCTGAAGTGATGCACATGATCTCACTATAGTTAATAATTCTCACTAACTATAGTTACTCACTGTCATTTCCAGAAAATAGAAAACAATATAATATGTCAATCATATGGCATTCATCATATGAAAAAAAAAAAAAAACCCAAACAAAAATTGTCAGATAAATATAGTTTGCATTTGTTCCAGTTCCTTTTTCTTTTACAAGATAGTGACCCAGAACAACAGCCTTTCCTGCATCTCTCAGAAATGAGGATGATTCTGTTTGGGATTTTTTTTGCTGTAAACATGAATTTGAAGAGGGAATCCAATAAAAAATCCTTTTCAATATATTTGTGTATTTGAGGAAGAAATGTAAAATGAGAAATAAAGTTGAAGCTTCTGGGTTGTAAACTAGAGCAGATTTCTCCTTCAGATCAGAGTGTTGATGTAACTCTTTATTTTTTTACTAATAGAATCAAAGACTTCCCTCTACTTTAATAGCTGTTATTTATGTTTGAAAATGAAGAATTACTCGCAGCTTTTCCAATGTCACTATGGAAAATGTGAATCTGAATTTGTTGTTCACTGGTCAGACGAAAGGAAAAAATATATTTTCTGTGCCAAGGCAGAGTTGCTTTCAGTTCCTTTAGCAACTGTTGGATTCAGAGAACAAATAAGAGCCATCAGACTGCAATTTTGGGTAGGTCATTATAAAAAAAAGCAGTGTATTAACTATGTATGTGGGAGGAAGGCAAGGCAGGACAAAGGAAACAACTTCCAACTGTTGCTCTGTCTTACACTGGTAATATTAAATGTTGTCACTGACAATAGGCCAAAAATGAAAAAAAATATATTTGAATATAATAGCTTGATAGTCAGAACAGAAACATTAATTCTCTACCTAGTTTTGCTAAAGTGCCATGTAAAAATTGTGTCTCCAGGGTTGTCTGTTGTTTAGAGAGAGTGTTATTTACAAGCTTTAAAATGGCTGCATAAACCCACTAGGATTCAGTTCTACAGTGCTACAGTGTGTAAACTTTTAGGATAATTCTGATTCTAGCTCCTTGTAGAGCTGTGACATCCTCAGTAATGTGGCCTAGTTGGTTTGCAAATTCTAGCACCATTCAAAGTGAATGTCAGTGTTAGACATATTATAATGTATTTTTTAAAATACATTCTCCTTTATACAACGGTTGGGCTTGAATACATGGAGGTTTCAGGAAAAAAAATCAAGTAAAGTTTCCAACTCATTTTATTTCATTTTGACTTTTAACAACTTCCTGCTTGTGAATTTTCTCTCAATCATCTTGTCCCAAGGCAGCAGTTACAGCCAAAGGGATTGAAGACATAAACATGATTGTAATTTTTCCATGGTTTTTTTCTGTGTAATCTGATATTTTTGTAAAGAAGTTGTATACCAGCTCCTGTTGTGGTTAGAGAGGTTGAAATCAGGCCTCTTGAAGACAGGTCTACATCCCTCGCTTTTGTTTTAAATAGACTATGTAAAGAGGAACAAAAGCCTCAAAGTACTGCATTAAAACTGTATTTGTATTTGTTAGAAAGGGTGAATAGTTTCATTTTTAAGTATTCATTTCCTGAATATGTATTTCGTCTTTATATTTAATTAGTTTTAAGTCAAGTGAACGTGCTGTGTTATACTTTTGCTAACTAATTTTCATCTACTAAATTCTAATCCATTCTTGGGATATAGTGAATCTGTTTGCAAAACCTCACTTCTATCAGTAGTAAATGAAAGTGAAGCATGTAAGGAAAGGTAATATTTATTAGACTAAGAGCTATCACTGAAAAAATATGAAAGCGTTTGGACATATTCAGCTGTTTTAGGGTCTCCTGTATTTGTCAAGGATGTAAAAACAATGAAAACGTTTCATGTTTCTTTGTAAATGAAAGACTGATTTTGTTTTGCTTTGTTTTCCAGCTACATCTCTTGGTCTAAAAGAGTATGCTACTTTACCCTACAAACATTGCTAATAGCCTTAAACATCTGTGGATCAGCAGCTGGAACAGCCTTGCTGCACTGTAGCTGGAACATGTAAAGAAATATACCTTGAGTGTTGACTAATTAGCTAGGTTATAAATTCATTTATTGCGAGGTGCCTAATGAAGTTCTGTAGATTAGGATAATCAAAGGGTCCCTTAACAGTCAGGAGAGAGAATCACACACAGCACTGGAGGTCACTTCAGGTCTGATTTGCCTTTGCTTGCACTGGGAGGCTGCAGCAACGTTGTTGGCTTAGGTTACATGAGCTACACGAGCTGATAATGAGCCAGAGCACTCAAAATAGCTGTGATTGTGCCTTCAGACACATTTAGTATTAATTTAGTATTAACTACTAATAATAAATACTTAGCAATAATTAAAATACTAGTAATAATAATAATTGAGTTCATAATCGTCCTTGGAACAGAGTAGGTTATTTATGAAACTGGTGCAAACACAGAGGAATTTTCTGCTTATTAGAGTACAAATTGTTTATGACTTTTTGTAAAACTGAAACAAATGCATGATGATACAAAATATCTCTAGTATATGGGCCTGAAGGCAATGCTACAAGTTATTTTTCAATGAATTGATTGCATTCAGTTACTATAAACATATTAGTTATCTTCCATGGAGTGAACTTAAAACATCTGCAAATGTTTTTCTCTTTATCCTTTGTAAAAGATGTTTGTGAAAGTTTTATTTTTATGCCTAATGTGGTCTTAAAATATTCTAATTCGCTGTGTATTCTATAAAATTACAGGCAGACTGTGGAACAGCAGTGTGGCATTTAAAGTTTGACACCTATTTTAATGGGTTAAGTTTCTTATAGTTAGGTTTAAATGTTTACTACACAGTATGTCTCATGAAAGAGTGCAACACACATGCCTGCAAATGGAGTGACAGGGCATACAGTAGAGCATATGGCAGATTATATAATCTTTAAAGACTAATAGAAATTACGTTACTGCACATATTTTGATTTTTCTTCTAGGTAAGGGAACGACTGAGGGTTTCTTTAGAAAGAGTCTCTGCACTGGAAGAAGAACTAGCTGCTGCTAACCAGGAGGTAACATAAAACACTTTCTCCCCTTTTGAGATTAAATTTCTCTAATATTCTGTCCCATGTGTTCCCTGTCACTTTCTTCAAAACTGTTAGAAAAAAACCCCAACAAAACAAACAAAACCAAAATTAAACAAAATTAAAGGAAAATTACATTCTGAGTAAGCTTCTCAGTGAGGCTTGTTTAAGGTGGTTGTGAGATTAATACAACCTGTTTACTGATGTATTCCCTCCTTCTCTTCCCTTGTGAGCAATCCAAAATCCAAGAGCTAGTGACAGATTCCCAGGTTTCTTATTGGACTTGAAAAAGGAGTGAGCCAATAAATATGTCTGATACTATAAATAATTCAATAACCTGAATTTCCATTTTACTATAAAATTAAGTAAAACACACACACACGTGCATATACTCATTATATAAATGTTGACATTGCTGAAGGAAGGATTATGGATGACTGGGAAATGTAGGTTTGTCTCTTCCCTTTTAACTGCAGTGTACTGTGGTGCCATGTAACTATTGCCAACTTGGACAAGAGATATTTTTTTCCTTTTTGCAGAATGTTCTCTTTTGTTTGTATTGAACAGCTACACACATATAGAAAGAAAGTTTGCACCCTAGAGAGGTGATTTTGAGGCCAGATAATATAAAAAATGGAGTCTACTAGTGACTTTACCATTCCCCTCATGTTCTGAACCCACCTGACATGTGCTTTTAACATGGTTAAAAATAAACCAGATAAGCAAGTTGGATTAAAACTATTTGGGGTTATGGCCATTTCCTGGTGTCATTTTATTCAGGGTTAAGACAGAAACTGAAAAAAACACAGACAAGCTAAAACACTACCAAACAATTCTTGAAAAGTGGAATACCCAGAATTCAGAATAATATGTGATAATGTAAAGTAGAGAGTATTAAAGTATTTTTAACTAATTTAAACTGGAAAAGGTACTTTCTTAAATTTACTTCTTAAAAACAGGATCTTCAATTAATATGTTAGTACTTCTTTGTTATAAGTATGATAGACTATAAAACTATTAATATGATTTGTCCCTTTGCTCTCTGAAGTAACTGAATCATGGGTTAAAAAATAAGATTCTCCTTTCAGAAGGATCAGAAAAGTTGTGTTCAAATAATATACTTACACTATGTTGTGTATTCTGTTATTTGGACTATTGTTAATTGAATAGCAAGCAGTCGTTTTGGTCAGTCAAGCCAACTGAGATGCATTGCACTCCTCCAATCCCTCCTGCTCATCATCCAATTAAATCCAAGTTCACTTCACTGGGCATAGGACCAGGCCTTTAGAGAATTGCCTTGCTATTTGGAATCTTAAAAATTTAGTGAAACTTTTTTGACAGTAAGTAATAAAAACATGCACAATGAAATTAAATTGAAAGAAGATTTCCATAGCTTTTCTTGTCCCAAATCCTTAGAAATGTTGAACAATGTTTGTGTCTACATGACACTGAAGACATTTAAAAGGACACTGAATCAATCAAGCATAACATGACCATTAACACAATCTGAATATTGTTATTCAACTTTCCTCTGAGAGACTATTAAACCTGAAATTCAATTAAATAATAATGAAAAAAGAGTGAAATGGGAGGAGATGTGGAAGAGAACAAGTGGATTTTTTTCAGTTATGCATTTGAACAAGAGTTCAGATAATTTTCACACAGTTAGTTATTTGAGTAAGACAAAATTAATTAGAGCACTGCAGTTTTTAAGTCTAGTTTTATGCTAAATTTCACAGTGAATACACAGGCAATAAAACACGTTAAAATTTTATTGTATTATGTATGAAAATAAATGGGGTGTGTTTCTTGGGGAATTGAATATTTGGGTTTCAGTGATTTCCGTAGTCTTGTCTTGGTGTCTGCTTTCCCAGGAAAATTAGTATTTCCTTTCATATACATTTTCTCATACTTATTCTAAGAGTGTACTATATTCAGGACTATATCTGAACATAAAATAATGTCAGTAAATTGGTTCTCTGATTTAAAAAATTACATTTAGGTATATGATAAGTATCAGATAAAAAGTAGCAGAAATGTATATGTTAAGATATTCCCTCTCCTTGAAAGCTTGTGGCTGTGGCTCTGACTCAGCAACAGTGAGAAACTGCAGACACTCGAGAGTACTTATTGGAAATATTCTTAAATTTAAAAAACCACAAAACTGAGAGACAACAACTGTACTTTTCCATCATTAGGTGATAACTAAGCTCTCATTTAACACTTTGTGGCATATTACATACCTAACAAAGGGAGTGAAATCATTTGTTACCGGCAAAGCTGATTTAAGCTCTAGTTGATAACAGTCTTGCAAAGCACATAACGTTGGATAGGCAATAGTAACACACCTTGAACTCTAAACTCCAGAGCAATTGGGGTGGACATTTGGAACTGTTGTGGGAACTCAGCTTGTGTAGCTTGTGTAGCTAATATTTACATGTAGTTACACAAGGGTAATAGAGAAGGGTTTTCATCTTATGAGCTTATATTTTATTAAAGCTTCTATTTTATTAAAGAGTGGATTAAAATTTATATAAATATATGTTTTCCTTGGGGAAAATATTATTTGACTATATATTTTATTTTGCTGCACCTGATTAGTGATTGTGGAAGGGCCCATTGTACATAGGAGCAAACTGAATTGCTGTTAGTGAGTTTTTGTGCAGACAGGGGTAAGGTAACTGCAGTAATAAAATTCCATGTTCATCCTACATTTTCTTTTTCATTTCTGCTTACACTCAAAGACATTACTAGTTCACGACTAGGAAATGTCCTGTTCCTTATGTCTGTTGTAGACAAGATAATTAGAAGATACTGTTAACAACTATTTTTGAGACATTTACCTCCCGTTTTTAATTAAAATTACTGTAAAATATAGCTACATTTGCTTACCCCTTAGGTGCTTTTAAAATTATGCTGGTTCTCATCTTCTTCCGTGTAACCTATGGTCTCTCCAAATAGTTTTATTGCTGAGGGTTATAATTTGCAGTTAGCAATTAGACAAGCTGCAAATGGGACATCCAATAACAAAGCTCAGTGCTTTAATCGTGTTCTTCTGTGAATATTTTTCAAGGGAAATGTGATGTTTTTCAGTGAGTGTATGAATATTTGCAAAGTTGAACAACGATCTGCTAACTAGCCTCCTTTTTACACGCTAATTTGAGAAGAATTAGTTTAATTGACAGGAGAAGTGAATTTATCTTCACAGTTTTGTCATTCATGATCTTAATGGGAATTAACTTTAATGTTGAAAATACTGACAAGATAACTACTTTTGTTCTACGGCTTTAGAAATACTCCTATTACCATCACAAATGTGAATCTTTGTTAAAAGTATGCTAAAGTACACACATGCAAACAACACACCAAGGTTAGTCATGAGTGCCATATATTCCCAGGAATCCAAGTGCTAACAGCTTCCACAGCTCAAGAGTACATAGATTATAGACCGTGGCCCATAGTGACACTTTTAAAGCCATTTCTGCAGCAATGTACAGTGTTAAATGACAACTATTGCAACCTCCATTAACAGATTTCCCTGTTTCCTAGAGCCTTCAGCAAATCGTTTAAAAAAAAAAAACCCAAACCAAACAAGATTTAAAGCTTTTTTTCCAAGGTTTTTTTGTAAAACCAAGTTAATAAAATACTGGAATTCTCTTTTTTTGAATGGTTGTGCTTAATTTGCACATAAATTTTCTCCTGTTCATTTTAAACAATTATCCTTCCCTTGCAACATCTTTCTGTGTTAATAAGAATCATATGATAAGTGGCATTCCAAAACCCTATTTTGTTTCCGGTTAATATGCTGGCTTTTCCATCTTTCCTCATTAGTAGAAACTGTGGCATGAAAAATACAGTTTTACTTACGTTTATTACCCTAAAGTAGTCTTTAAGAACCCAGAAAACATTGGGACTGCAGAATTAAATTACAGAAACTACTGATTTGACTGTATACATCACTGTACTGCCATATGCTTTTCCTCAGCATTTGTTCCAATTGCCAATGCTGTTTCCAAGTGCCAAATTGCATTATATTGCCTCTGTCAACTGACACATAGATTATATTTTAAAACACTCAGGCTTCATTTTAAAGCCTCATTGTTGCAATTGCTTCTGCAAAGTTTACTTGACTTTGAGGCTATATTTAACTGCTGGAGATTTCAGAGAACTTGCAGGAGTTTTGGATCATAGATCACTGCTTCATATAACTGCATACATTCTCCTGTTCAGGCAGTGGGTATCTTCCTGACAATGGGTTAGGGTACCCTAATGAATGAAAAGAGAGGATGGTTTGAAATTTCAGATTCTTTATGTTCCATAACAGGGACAGCAGGAAATGTATCCACTTATTCAGCAAAGAACTTCTCCAAATACCATGTTAATTGCCAAACTTCTGCTGTTCAGGGCAAATCAAGTTCACAGTAAAAAATGCAGTAAAATTCTTACAGCTAAGGACAGTTTTGGCTCTGATCAAGAGGGATGATGCAGATGTGACTATGGTATCATTACTGCTAATGAAATATTCTATAGTAGTTAATACATATATGCATTTCAAAGTGAAGTCTTAGCTAAATGTGGCATGTCCTTTTTACCAGTGATTGCACATGAAAACGTATTTCTATGCCTAGCTTTTCCATTTCCTGTTAGGTTAAGGCATTTTTTACAGGGGTTTCTTGGTGGCCTTAGGCTTTATGTGTAAATACAATTCAAATTGGAGTAAAAGTGTTGTAAAAGGAAGAGTTTGCTGGGGAGAATAGATATGCATTTCTTGTACATATAATTTACACAAAATTTCATCAATTCAGAATTCAGAAATTATGTATATCAAAACTTTGGATAAAATTGAGTGGAATTCAAGGATCTTTTTTCTTTTTTTCTGAAGGCCAGGCAGATGACATATCTGTTTCTGGTGACTTGAAGCATACACTTTTTTGCAAAGAATCTGAACACCCTTTGTCTATAGTGTCTCCTTTCACCATATTTTCCCC